TTTAATTTAAGAAGAAATCTTGAGTGTCTTAAGTCAATGTTCCTTAAACAGTGTTTCTTTTTCCTCTCTGAAATGGGCAGGTGCTTTACCTACAAGCTTTGTTTCCAATGGCTTTATAGAGGTGATGAAGTTACACATGGTCTTAGAGAAAGTTAAAATAACAATAGTTTCATCTGTGTGCTGGAAAGTTCCTTCTCCTCTGTTTTCTCCCTTGGGCTTCACTGTAGCCCTGTGAAGTAAGGATTGTTCAGCTCCTTTTCTTGTGAGCAAACAGAGGCTCGAGAGGGTACATGACTTGCAAGGACACACAGTGATTTGGGTGGACAGCTAGGGACCACTAGGCCGGGACCTGGTTTCAGAGTTTTCCAGGAGTTCAGCCTTCCTCGAACCACTCCCTTGGCTCTGGCTTCCTGAGGGTCCCTAATTCTGCTTCTCTTGGCTGTGCGGCAGTGTCTGAAGGAGTTAACACTGAAAGCAGCAGATGTCAGCTTTGTCAAGATGAGCATCGAGGTCCTGCATTTAGCCAATATTTGTCATCCATGGACAAATATTGACTCATGACACTCCCAGAAAGTTCATCTCCTCTAGCAAATGAAGACTTCCTCCACCCACAACAGTGAAGCCAGGCCACCCCGTCCTGCGCCCACTCCCCTGCTCCTGCCCGGGTGCAGGCCTACAAGCCACCAGTTATTAAGCATGGTCCTTACTTCCAACCCTTACAGCAGTCCTGGGAGGTAGGTGGTTTTGCATACATTTTACAAAGGAGGACACTGAGACCCAGAGCGCTCATATCACATTTGCCTAAGATCCCACAGGGATGAGTAATGCAGCTGGGATCCAAGTCTAGATTCGTCTGACTGCAAAGTGGGTTCCCATGAAATTTTGCACCACCCTCCCAAACCAGGTCCCATCTGAGTGTCTTCCTCATCTCAGGCTTGGTCCTCGTCCCATCTGTACTCGGGGCTGCACCCAGGTTTTTCTGGCCTGTGGGCCTTGAGTTAAATCTGAGTTGAGATCCTGGCTCTGCCTTCTAAGAGTAGGATGCTTGTGGGCACGTCTCGCAGCCTCTCTGAGCCTCAGTGTCTGCGTTCAACAATTACCTGCCTTGGGGGGTTATTTTGAAGATTCAGCAGGTATTTGGCCTCAGATGTGGCATGTAGTAGGTGGCCAAGAAGCAGCTGCTGTTACTAGTTTGTTGGCTGCTTACTTTCAGGGAGTGGAGGGGGGTGTTGTGACCCTCCTCGTGCTGACCTTGGACAGTCCCTGCTCGCTCATCACTTCCCTCCCCTGCTCTGAAGCTTATCTGCTCTCTACTGTGTGCCTGATAATCGCCAGACTCTTCCACAGCAACTCACAGTGCCACAGGCTGAGGCCCCAGTCTCCCTTTCAGGGTCCCCTCCTGCTGCTCAGCTTCGTGCACCTGCTCGGGCTGACTTGACCCTCTCTCTGTGCCCTGGTGCCCTGCCCTCACCCATCTCCATGCTGTTTCTCTCCTATCCTCCAGGCTTTCCCCATCCATGGACGCTTTGATTCCAGCTTGGATGTAGGTCCCTACTCCTGGGCTAAGATTCTTGAGCACCTTCTTTGCAAGAAGAAAATGTTCACTTATTTGGCACATGAAGCCAAGCCACAGGCATTGACCTTGGCCCTGGCAACATTGAGGTAACTAGCTGGTTCAGGTGCTCACTGTCTGGGGCTGTGTGTATGTGTGTTGTGGGTGGGGGGAGACAGACAAAGTAAAGAGTGCATTAGGTATTCGTGTTCTTGTCTGATTTCTCATGGTATTTAAGACTGTTAGCGTCTTGAGAGCAGGGGAGGGGCAGTTAACGGTGGGCCTACTGTTCTGAGCTCAAGAGTTACCAGCATCTTGGTTGAATTGATTGATCTGAATAGATGTGGTCCAAAGGTAAGCTCACAGCTTTGCCATATCCAGACCAGCAGTGGTCAGGGAGGTGGGGGTAGGGTGGATGGGAGGGATGGTGGGGAGCCCAGGTGCAGCTCTCTCCCTTCCCCCACACCCCTCCTTTCCCCTCCATCCTCCTAGGTCACATTCATTGATTGGGTCAACATGCAGCAGTTGACAACTTTTTTGCTGTCTTGCCAGTGGGCTGTAGGGAGGAAAGCTCACAGGGTTTAGGGCCAGACATTCCCCGGGCAGGTTACATGACTTCCCCAGCCTCACGTGCCTCTTCTATAAAGTGTTGCAACAGTAGACTCGATATTCATGAGGGTGTTCTGTTGAGATCTTTGAGAATTCTCTTTTTTTAAAAAAAGATATTTATTTATTTAGAGAGAGAGAGTGGGGTGGGGTGTGGCACAAAGAGAGGGAGAGGGAGAGAATCTCAAGCAGACTTGGCGCTGAGTGTGGACCTGGGGCTCGATCCCACCACCCTGAGATCATTCCCTGAGCTGAAATCAAGAGTTGGATGCTCAACTGACTGAGCCACCCAGGTGCCCCAAGAGATCTTTGAGAATTCTTAATCAGCATCCTTTTCATCATTGTGACCAAGTTCTCGTTTATTGACAACATCCCTAAGGTGAGGCATTCATTCTCATCTGACAGTTAAGGGACTGAAGCATATGCTACCAGAGCACAAAATTTCTCCCATATATGCAGTGATGCATAATTGAACAATTTAAACGATTTCTGTCTCTTACTGATTTCATGAATATAGGGCTATAGGCATTTATAAATCTGTTACCAGAAATTCATCATGGAGTATAAACTTTCCTTCACGGGCGCCTGGGTGGCTCAGTTGGTTGGGCGACTGCCTTCGGCTCAGGTCATGATCCTGGAGTCCCTGGATCGAGTCCCGCATCGGGCTCCCT